ATAAAGGAGCAAAATCCGTACTCTCAAATTTGTTTTACCATAAACATTCCTATGTAAATTATGTATGATATCGGTGTATCTGTTCACATAAATGTCATATCATATCGCATATATATATATATATATATATATATATATATATATATTCGTTTTATTTGTATATATACGATATACATAGTTGTCGTTTTCAATAACAGTGGCTGCAATAAAGTTTAATGTAACAAAAAATTTCAAAAATTTTTTTTTTTCAATTTCTCACAGGTTTAAAATAGCGTAAGAAGAAAAACAGTGATAGACATACGATGATAGCTAAGAAAGAAAATTGAAATTTGTTGTTCCTGGCGATTGTTCATCATCTTTTAAAATTAACCACAATCAATGGAGGAGTTCCAGTTCCAGCAGAAAGATAGAAAAAAAAAAAAAAAAAAACAATCAACTAACTTTTCTGTTATGAAAAAACATCAGTCATATTAGAATTTTCTTTCAGTTATGCACTGTTTACAGCGTTGCCCTTTCATTTGAACTCCCTCATACAGAAGAAATGCATAATCATAATTCTCAAATCACGGCATAACGCAAAATAAAGAAGTGAAGAAAATAGGTGAAACCAAAAACTCTGAAAAGTTTTTGATTTCAGAAAGTAAAGTGTTCAACAAAACACCACCTTAACAATTCATTATCCGTCTACGTACAATAAATAGGTAACATTTTCGACTCGATAAAAAAGCTTCTTTGTTTTTCACTGGAAAAAGTGAGGGAGATGAAAAGGTGAGAAAAAACTAAGTTAAAAAAAAAAACAGAAATTTTTTGTGAGCTAATTGACAATTCTTTCGAGGATCATATTATTGGCTTTAACCGAGCGATGATATATAAATTAGGAAATAGTAAAACGAAAAACGCTTAGAGTCACAAAAAAAAAAAAAAAAGATAACTGTCTGTTGACATAACCTATTGAATACTTTGAAAATAACATAAAGTAAAGCAGTCCTAAAAGAGTACAAAAAATTCCTCACTTATAAAAACAATGAACTTCATAATAACAGATGTATCTGACAATATCAAAAAAAAAAAATTTTTCGCTTTGTTTTTCCAATCTGAAAACGGGAAGGATTATGAAAGTGCTTTCACCAACAATCATTTATATTTTATTGCTATCAGAGCTTAACAGCTGTACTGAAAAACAGATGATCTCAATAAATTTAACGCAAACGAAATGAACTATTAATAGTTATTACCACTGTTACTCTCTATTTTTTTTCTCTATTTCAAAAAAATTAACCACTATCATTCTTCTTGGCGACCAGTAAAATATTAATTAACAATAACAATTTTAATGAAACAGTATAACCGTTCAAATGATAACAAAGAATCTCTGTACAAGAAAAAAAAATAATGGAAAAATAAACAATAAAACCAGGTATTCAGCTCTGTCTAATTATCAAGATTTGAAGTCATATTCGTTTATTTAACTGTATCTTTCAAAATTTTCCACTGAATAGGCAGTTCCCAGTATTTTAGTTGAAAAAATGTCCAGTAATTAAAATCAAAACAACTCAATTTTTAATCAGCTCTACAAAACAACGTGTTTGAAATAATTCTGAGCATAGACGGTATTAAATAATTTATCAATTGAAAACGGAATATTTCCAAAGTAAAATTTGCTCCTCCTTAAATATTGCCCGATATCTCTATACTAAAAATAAACAAATATCTGAGATGTTCATGCAAAAAAAAAAAAAA